ATTGATAGGTATTAGTTGAGAATTTTATTATACATTGGTAAATACATTAGCTATTATTATGGAATTGCGCTTTTTCTTTATGCATTTTTTTTTTTTTTTTTTTTCATTTATTCTAAGTTTTAAGATAATTTAAAAACCTGTTCAGCTGATATTATCATAGTGTGATAACTTGAATAGGAATAAAAAAATCCATTCCATCAATAAATGATAGCAATAAACAGTTTTAGTAGAGGAAAAGTAATTGTAGGGAAAATATTTTATAGTGAGCTAAAAATTAATGAATAATTCAAATTGGTCAAATAGATTGGTGCTCTATGCTATATGATAAATAATATTATTATGTTGAAAAGAACATAGAGGTAGGTCATTTGAATATACAATTATTCTAACAGGATACGCTTCTAACAGTATACAATTGATATTTTTGGATAGAATTTAATAATTTCCATCAGAACGATGACCATTTGCTATAATCAATCAATCAATCAATATATATTATTTTAATATTATTTAATTAATATTTAAATTGAATTTTTAACAAATTCAATATTTTATACGTGTCCATTAATAGCTTTTGAATAGAAAGCGCAATTATTTGAAAAAAAAAATTTTTATGAGCTTTTAGTATTTAATTTATCCTCCAATTCCATACCTGATTTTTAAGTTAAAAATTAAAAATTATCAAAAATATTTCAGGTGTCAGAAGTTATCTTTAGTTAATGAAATACACTGATAAGAATTAAAAGTAATCGTAATACTGTCAATAGTAGATTTACTTTTCATTTCTAATATTACTTTTCATGTTACATTTAAAAACAATAAACATTATGATATAATAATGCTACTTTTTTTTATAACGAAAAATTAGAGGTAAGGAAATCCATTTTAAGTATTAGTATTACAAATTTTATCAATTTTACATTGAAACTTGTTTTTGTTTTTGTTTTTGAATATTTTTTAGACAATTTTATTTGCACATTGCTCAATTTTGCAGCAAATTTTCAGGAGCATTTGTATATTTGAAGTAAAATGAGAAAATGACTGTAGTATCTTTTGAAGAAATATCTTTATATAAAAGCTCTAGCATAAAAGGTTGTAAAGGTCAAAATCATCATACAAAGTCATAATCATACTGAATGCCACCAAATAAGCATTTTTATTTTAAGCTTTTTCTTATTTTTTAATCGATTTTAAAATTTTTCATTTTTTTTAAAATCTTATCTTTTTTAATAACTTTCTTTTTTTTTTTTTTTTATTTTAATTTCAAGGGGACTATTTTTACAAATGTCATCCATAATATTACTGTGCTTATAACAGAAATCACAGGTGTATCCCATTCACCTTATTTTTGTCATCCCATACATACATAGATTCATTTACTGTGACATCAAAGCAAGAGAATTTTCTAGCAATAATATAATCACAATCATAGTGTCAACTCTACCTTCTCAACCAAATGTAAATACTGTAATTCCAAACAATGAAATAATGAAAACTGTTGTAATAACTTAAACAATTCCCCTCGATCTCTTGCACAAATTCCATTCCATTAGGTATACATCAAACTCAAGCAAAACAACAAATTTAAAAAAAATGCAACGAAAACCATTCAATAAAAAAAAAAAAAAATGATATTTGATGTGATAAATTCATTTTGTACTTTAATACATTTTAATTTTTGTTACACAAAAATTTTTTTTGTAGTAATAACAAATAGCAATAGATTCAGCTCAAGTATTAAACCAAAAAATATGACTGATCAAAATAGATAATGTCAAAAAGAAGAAAAAGGAAATGATATTAAGAATAAATTAATAATGTAGCAATGAAAAAATGGAAAATAATATTGTAAGATATAAATGATAAGAAATGAATAGAAAACCTTGTATGGGTATAAGATCCGGGTTAGCTGCCCATGCTTGTTGTATATTTTCCGATAATATATAACTCAGATAATATAATAATAGTAGCATGCTCTAATACAGAAAATCAGTGAAATGGTGAGATAGAGAGTAAATAGATGTGATGTATTTATTATTGGGTAAATCGTTTTGTCGCCTTATACGACGATTACTACCACATCTGAAATAAAATGAAATGAATTGAAAAGAGCAAAAATATGTGATTAAAAATAAATTTATATTAATTTCACATATATTAGTTGTAATTATAAGTTAAAACTTTTTTTTTTTTTTTGAAAATTTATAAATAGTAAAGATATAATATCAATAAAAAGAAAGAAAATAGTATAAAATGAAGGAAAGAATAGAAATATAAATTCGATTGTTTCCTTTCCTTTCTTTTCCTTTTTTTTTCTTTTTTTTTTTTCAAATTAGATAAAATGATAATATTTTATCAATTATCACCTATCGCCGCCTATTATTTTACTATCTTCAAAAAGAATGCAATGATTTGGAAGAATTATTTGTTAACAGAAATTGATGCACCCAACTCCTTCTTATTTATGTTGTTAACAACGAAAGTTTTAAGACTACAAAATGAGAGACGAAAATTTGAACAGTGTTGCGCATGTCAACAGAACAAAAGACAGTGCGGTGAAATCAATTTCACAATCCAATTAATAAATGTTTGTTTCGAAATTGAAACTACTAAGACATTAGAGAGCATTCAAGATAGAAAAAGAAATTTACAGTGTAAGGCGGGGAGAAGAGGGGAAGGGGGAGGGGGAAGATGGGAGGGATAAATGAACCACTACCACCAACCACCTACTACCATCTTCTTTTTTCCCTTTCCTATCTTAAATCATATTATCACGGCGAAACAAAATGATGCTACGGGGCGGGAAGGAGAAGAGGGGGGAAGATGGGCGGGTGAAATACGTGTTTCCAACAAATTCTCTCACTTCAACGATGACAATAACGATGAGGACGATGACAACGATGATGGTGATGGTGGCATGCATCCCTACCCGATCCCCTTCACATCACTCTACACCTCGATCGGCAACACCACCGGTCGGTCATATTGCAGTGCTACTATCTTTACCGACCGGTAACAAACACCATCACGAATAGCGCACCTTTCCTCTTCTTTCAACTCTTTTCTTCTTTAATTGGCGCTATTATAGAACTCTGCAAGGCATGCATTGGCATGCATCTTCTGCACTTCAATGAGCATGCAGATATAATCTAATTGATTCTCTTCTCTTTTCATTGCTTACTTCCATATATAATTTTAGTAATAGCTTTTAATTAGTAGAAATTATAAAGCTATTAAAATTATTAGCTAATTTGTTATATACCATTTCATTCTCAACGTTCTATTCTCAATTGTACAAAAGTTAATTCTTTTATCTTTTAAATGACGAAATCTCTGTCCGACAATAATCGATTTGCTTTTTCATTCATTTTCTCTCTTCTTGTCCTGCACTGAAACCATAGAAACGATTTACCACATTATTTAATTGTTCTCTCAAAATTTTACATCAAAATATTAGAGCTCAGCAATGATCGATTTTATAAAGACCATCTAATATGCGTAATGTGCCTAAAGAATGTATGAAGAGTTAGCGCTGTGGACAAAGGTATTTTCTAATGTACCAGCAACCTCCGAGGATTTTTCTCGATTTTTCATATTTAATTTTATCAAGTTTAAAGTTATATTTTACTAGTGGGAACACAGAGTAAATTGGATATTTGAATGATACAAGGTCAGTTGGAATTGGAATAGTGAAGAGGATCCTTTATCGGTCATATTACTGACCATTTTGATTAATGGATGAGAGGAGAGGACAGGGAAGGTAAACATATATACAACCTAAAATGATGATAAAAAGCAATTGAATGATTAAATTTAGTGAATACATAAAATGTTTAAAAATTGCTCACGTGGTGATTGACTAAAATAGGCGATTCCAGATCTCCGTACAATACAAACTTAAAACTTTTTTCTTTAAAAAAAAGAAAAAAAAAATATTGAAATGTTGAAATTGCTTGCACGCTTCCCAGAAATATGGTACAAGTCAGATTCTCACTTATCAATTCTACGTATAGTCTCCAAATGTGATACTTTTAACGATGAGTGTTTTCACGTCAAGCATAAATAAAAGCGCAAAGAAATAGCATAAAAAAGCATCGAGAATAACAAGACTTTAACCATATAGCACACATTTACGCCATCGACAACATACAATGCCGCCCAGAACACCACGGAAAGAGCAAGGGGGTTGTCATTTGTCTCGTCAACGAACTAACGAGCCATCATCATCACAAACCTGATTTTAAAAGAGTGGTGAGCAAAAAGCGATCATTCATCCCACTCCATCCATCGTCCACAACTCAGTTCCTTTTGCATTCATTTTGATAGTATCAGCCCATCAAATTTATACATAGCAACATAATGACCAGACTATACCATTAATGATGACCATCATATTATCAGTAGTAATGAGGAAACGATGTATTTCAACTGAACATCAATAATTCACACATTTAAATGGGCGAAACGGTCAAAGATGATAGTTCAGGTCAAAGCTTCCGAAGAACTGGTCACGTCATCTTGTATGATCCCGATATAGACTAACAGAGATTTACTCTATATATAGTGGAATAGAGCTAGTGATACGGATTATATATTTTCGAAGCTGAACAAGAAGGAATTATATTAGCAGCTGTTTAAGAGAAGTTATTCCATCGTTACTTTTCACTGAAGAGAATTTCAGACTGCTCAAACAACATTTGGAAATATGCAATAAATTTATCAAAAATCCATGTAAAATATGAATCATGTACAATGAGTATTCAGGCACTTACCGTGAATGAACTGGCTCTCACCGATATTGTAACGGTAAAGTTGAGATAAATTTCTGTAAGAAATTTACAAATATAACTTAGTAATAAACGAATATTGGAGATCATCTTCAACAGAAAATCATACTTCCATTACGAAATAATTTACTTCGTTGCTAGTACCAGTTCAATTTCACCGGAAAGTAAGGAAGGATCATACAACTTAATTTTTCTCTTCTATCATTAACCTGGTTATCTTATCTGATACAAATCATTCTCATAATATTCCAGATCGGGTATTTCGTCTACGTTGAATAAATCTTCATTGATTTCCATATTTCCAATACCAACAGCAGTTTCTTCCCACTGAAATTATGGAGAACATATATGAACTATTGTTAGGTGTTAAATGAAATTAGAAAGTATTAGAAAATATAAATCATCGATAAAAAAACGTTCTTTTCCATGCCGCTTTAATTTTCAATAGAACTTAAAAATGAAGCGGTATTTTAAGAAAATAAAGTAAACATGAATTAATCTGATGAAAATAATGTGGAGTGTAGAAAAATATAAAAAAACCTTTTCGTCGTCATATAGGTTGTCATCCAACATATGTCCTTCGTCATCGATGCAGTAAAAAGTGCGCTCATTGATTTCAAATGCTTTTATCTCTGCCTAAATAAACTATTACAATCATAAAAACGAATAAACTTATAATTATATTCTAAATTCATCAACATTTCGAAAAATTACTCATATATGAAAAAAAATTTCATTATAAATACACATGAAAAAGACAGTTTTCAAAAATTCCTTATATTGTTTTTTGGTAAATATTAAAATGGGAATGTAAAATAAAGAAAATAAAAACCTCATCATTATATTCCTCTTCAAATTCTCGCTCAAATGCAATACCTCCTTCCATATCTCCTTCATCTTGCACCATTAATTCTGGATTGTACGTGAACAAATCACGGCCACTCATTCCAACCTATAATACCCAAAAACAATATAAAATGCATATCGTCATAACCCTGAAAAAATTTGCCATGTTAAAATGTCGTATCGTTAAAGACAAATTTTACATAGTTGCTAACAGTAAAATTAGAAAAACAATAAATATTTAATTTACATAAGTTTCATTATAATTCTTTCTCAATAATATGCCATTTCAAAAAACCACCATTTAAGAAATATTTCGAATAAAACTTGTATTCATGTGAAGCTAGTAGAAAGCTACTGCATAGAAACTAAAAAGTAGATATGCTAATAAACTAAGGAAATCTCACCGATTTACCAATCCTAATGTTTTTCTTTTTCTCTTTCTCTTCTTCTGCAATTTTTTTCTTTCGCTCTCGCAACTTCATCTTCTTCCAACGAATAAATGTATCCAGCGTTACTTTTGTAAGATTTTCTGGCTTAAGTTGTGTACGCTGAAATATTACATATAAAAATCAATTCTACAACACTTTAAACACTACCGGAGCTCTAAATACAATACCTCTTTCTCGAGGAGTTCTTCCAGGCTGATTTCATTTAATTGTTTATGCTCTTCCAACTTCTTCCTGTCTTTTTTCAGAATATAACCTGATGGCAAAGCATGCCTATAAATACAACCATCGCCATTTGGACATTCCCAAAACCAACCATATTTGTTATTCTCAACAGCTTCCAGAAAATATTTACATACCTGAAAAAAAAAAAGCAAAATTCATACCGCTAAGGAAAGTTATTCAGAAATATATGTCTGTTCCGTGCATCGCAACTTACAATATCTGTTTGATTCGGCCTTTTCCTATCACGTTCTCCATGTTTCTTCTCAGCAACTTCGCTTAATTTAGACTCATCCCAATCATCTATATTATCTGAAATCATAAATGTCACTAATTCCATTCTTTTAGTAAAAAATGAAAACTTGAAAATTCGTAAACATTGAAAGAAAATATTATTTTTTTTTTTCTGAAAGATTAACGTGATAACATATTGTAAACAACAAACAAAGGTAACAAACAAAAAATTACCGTCTTCTTTTGATAAATCTCGGCTATCAACATAAAGATTCTTCTTAGCTGTTTTCTGTTCTTTTGATAAATCATGACTAAATTTGCACTTTTCACCTTTGTGGCACATTCCTTGTTTGTAAAACAAACAAACCACTGATTTAGGATCAACATCTGCAAGAAATGAATCAAAACATAAAAGCTCCATGTCATTATCAAAAATACATCACAGAAATGTAATTAGCATTCTTTTAATAAGTAACATAGACTAAACGAAAACAGAGTAAAAATTTCGCATTCTTTGAATATTGAAAATAACATTTGAAGCACAGCAGCATGTACCATCAAAAAAAAATTTCCTAGTAATTATTCAAATTAAGACATACCTCGCGCTACCTTAGGCATTTCAGTTACCGGCTTCAAAAGTTTATTCAAATCTCGTAGTTCACCATCAGCTGCTTTCTTCTTTGCTGCACCCTTTTCTGCATTGTTCATATTACATTGTTTAATCTAAAAACAAATTTACTGATCAGATCAAAATTACAGCCAAGTGTCGAGTCTATTGTTCTAGATTTGATAGAATCCCATTCCTTATCTTTACATATATACAACAGCGAGAGTATTACCACAGTACAGTATTTAAAAAAATCATCAAAATTTTAGGACTAAGAAGTTTTAGTATCAAAAATTTACTTCAAATATTTACTAAAAAAAAAAGCAAAGAAGGAATACAGCAAAAGAGCCAACTATTACTATATAGCTCATAGCAGAGCTTTACCTAAGCGATATAACTTACCTGATTTGTCACTTGTTGTACATATTTCTGTGTCTTTGCTCCTTTCTTATTTTTCAGTCCAAATGTTTTATCTTCAATTAATTTTTCCTTCTTTTTCTGTTCCACTTTTTTATTTGGAGCATTTTTTGGTGGCATATTGAAGAATTTTTTTCCTGAAAATTTAATAAACATTACTTATGAATGAATCAAATGCATATATCAAGTAGAAAACTAAGAAAAAAAAAAGTACAAATTATTATAGAATAAAATTTATGAGCAGAATATAAGATGATTAAAAGACATAGTAAAGAGATTCAATGGTGTCCCAGAAATATGCAGGACGTTCCAAAATTTTACTTCAAGCCACAATAGCCTAAACTCTGGGTTGAAACATTCAACTACCTTAAACTTGGGTAATTAAACCGTCGATCATACGTAAGATGGAAAAAAGTAAATACGTAAATGTACAATGAAAAAAAAAAAAAACTATTTATAAGCAAGCAATGTTTCTAACAAATGTTATCAAAAAAAATTTTCAGACAATTGTATCTATCACTTATCTTTCTTTGCTTATGATTAGATTTAAAGTTATGAAGAAATATGCATATTAAAAGTATACTATCCATTGCAAATCATACGATCACTATTTATTGTATTATCATATGACCTAAAGTATTTGCACTGAATCAATATAATATGAAACTGCTAAAGGTTAAAGGTTACGAGAGGCAAGAAGAAGAAGAAGGAAAAGGACAATTCCCACCTCGTCAACTGCACTGAATGAAATTAACAACCATTGTCAACTATTATAGAGCACAAGTAGTAGCAGTAGTAGCATTCACGTTGCATGCTGTACATTGTGAAATGAATTTTGGTGACAGATTAGATTGACAGGATTACTATTTATTTGCTCTACCTAAATTACTCTTACTAATATTACTTTTAGTATTACTTTTCAAATCGAACTATCTCTTCTTTTATTTAAAGAAAAAATTACTGTAGAAAATTTATGTGTAATTATTTTAATCTGAAATTTACTAATTAGTATTGTACATTTCATCACTATCCATTTACCTACTACTACTGTATTTTTTTATTTTATTTTCAAATTAACATGTCTTTAGCTTCCTCTACCTAAAAAAAAAAAAATTGTTGTTTATATGTAAATATTTTAGTCTAAAAATGATATTAATTAGTAAAATGAGAACATTTTATCACTTAGCTATTATATTTTTTTTTTTATTTTCAGATTAATATAAATTGTTATGATATGCTACAACGCGTCTATAGATTATTTGGTGATGATGAAAATGCTGATATGTCAAATTTGTCAAATTCACCTCCTACAGATGAAACTTCAGAAAACCATGTTTGTTGGTTATGCATTTCATATTTCTTCTTTTATTTACTTCTTTCTTTTGCTTCTGATTTCCATTTATCATGATGAAACGATGATAATTTAAGTGTAGAATCGTCGAATTTTAACAAATTCAAATGATGATAAAGTAATAAAGGATGGCATAGGTGTGTAGAAATAATGTTTGACAATTAATAATTAATATCAAATAATAAAAAATGATTTTATTTCCAGTTTGTTTCATCGTTATCCTGGGATCTACGATTACAATGTTTTCTGGGCTGTCTCTGTCTGTCAATAATATGTTCTTTAGCTGGAAGTGCCTTACTTTTTACATGGAAAATTACAGGTTTTACTGTAATGATATCTTTGGGTAGTATTCTATCACTAGTTGGGTTCGTTTTTCATATCAATTATTTTTAAAATGTTGTTGTTGATAAAAAAGCATAAGAAGAAATAGTTCAGTGATTTTATGTAGATTGTGAAAAAAAAAAATGTAAAAGTCTTCCTTCTCCATATCATTTAGACATATCATGAATATTCTTTATACATTTATTTCTTATTTTTTTAAACATTACCAAATTATCATTCGTTTCTGTCGATATTTTTGTTTTTTTTTTTTCAGATTAGTAAAATTAAGTATTTTTCAGCAGTTTACTTCTTTTTAGGACATGTTTTTTAATGGGTCCTTTAAGACAATTGCAAAAAATGTTCGAACGAGGACGTTTTCTTGCATCGCTAATGTATTTACTTTCTATCGTCTTAACATTATTAGCCGGTCTTGTTTTATCAAATCCTCCTCTGGCACTTGTTTTTGTCATTGGACAGTACATTTCAATGGCTTGGTATTCTATAACATATATACCATTTGCACGGTATCATTCTTATCATTTTGTTTCTATATAACATCTGTTTATATTATCAATATTTCTTGCAGTTATCACTACAGAAAGTATTGCGCTAAATAAGTGTAAGCTAATTTTTACAGTGTACAATGTTATTGGTGGAAAATAATTCTACAGTTTATCTGTAAACAATCAATGATAATTTGTTATTATGAATTTTGTTGTATTATTTTTGTGTGCATTTCAGAGAGGCAATATTATCGCTGTGCTGCAAATGCTTTAGCTAAAGAATTAGTGAATAAATTTCCAGAAATAGAACATCATGAAACGGCAAAAGATATGATTCAGATTTACATTCCGAAGAATATGATTTTTCTAGAATATATATTTTTTCTCTTTCTTTTTTTTCTTTTTGTAGCCCATATTTTCTTTCAAATGTAGATAATACTCATCCCTGATCTCACATTCATTCTAGCAAAGAGACATGCAACATTTTCTCACTTTGGAACTGGACATTCTGATGTTTTTGGATGAAGACATGAATTTTGTCCTATTTTTCAGCCTTTTTTTTCTTTTTTTGTTATCTTGGTACCTAGGTACAGTTGGTAATCGCAAATCTACTAGCATTTCATACAATCTACTTAAATCACCTAATAAAATAAAAAGTTTGCGCCAGATGTGAAAGTAATTATAAACCTAGCCAGAAGTTTTTCCATTAGTTTACTTTGGATTGTATTTTTCTTTTTTTTTTTTTTGAATTGGTAATGGTAATTGCTAGAATGCAGGATGACAGGGAACTATTGTATTGTAATTTGTACTCTACTGTACAAATATATTGTACTCTTTCGAAATTCTGTGATTTCTTTTTTTTCAATTTGTTGGATTAGATCGATATTTCAACGCTTTCTATGATATATTGATGGTAAAATATTGCATACATTTTATTTAACTTTTGCAGTAAGTATTATATATTTACTCAACAATGGTACACATTTTGTATATCTATTTTTCATTTCTGATAATTTATCTGATTTGATCGTATCAATTACATAATTTTTTTTTTTTTTTTTTTTATTGCTTTACTGGTAAATGTAAATTGCGTTTTGTTGCACTATTTTACCCTTTGATTTAGTAGTTATGAAAATTACAATTAAAAAGAAAAATGAAGTTACAGAGCAATCATAGAATCAGTAAACCGATCTGATTTAAGTATTGCAATGCTATTGGTAGTACTATGTTCATTTCAATTTAGAATATATCCTATAATATTGTATTCAATTTAACTTATTATTTAGCAGAATATATTATCATTTTTAGATATTTCGTTCTTATTTTTCATTTCTTATTTTGGTACAGTAATGCTTGCTTTTAATATATCTTTCTGAATTGATTGATCATTTTGATTTGATTTGATTTGATTTTAGTTCGTATAATTCCATTCCGTACAATTTGTAGACAACTTTTGAGTGTTGGCCAATTTAACTTTTAAATGTTTATCAATTTGTTGCTTTTTTTATATGCGTTACTTGACTATGTCACGAATTGTTATTCATAAAAATAAACTTTTTGCTCTTTTTTTTTTTTTTTCAATCAATTTATGATGAGGCAATTTTCTACATTTCTAATTTTCCACCACTCTTTGGTGGGTTTTTCTTTTCTTCAGAAAAATTTTTAAATTAATGCTTCTAAGAAGCAAACATTGCAAATGTTTTTGAAGAGCCTATTCCATATCATTTAAAGTAATTAATGGGTACAATTTTGTAAGAAATTTAATTACAAAAATTTTGCTAGAATTGTTAAAATCAGAATGATATCAAATTACAATGAAATAAATCTCAAAAAATGTGGCGCACAACTTTTTATTTCCGCCAACTACGATCATAGTTCTAAGAAGGATTAGCATACGAACAAAATGAATTGCGACTGCTTGAAAATATGTTATTTAGTGAATGATTGAATAATAAATATCACATGAAAAATTGCTAAATCCAATTCTTATTTCTGAGAGAAAAGGAAAAAAAAAAAAAAAGAAAATAAAAAACAAAAATAAAATTTGATTTAAGTCAGAAGAGAATAATGAATGAATCATAAACTAAAGATGAAATTATTTATGCAAATTTAGCCTAATTATAAACATATACCAACAAAAAAAGAAGGAAAAAAAAAAAGAAAGAACAACTCGGTGTTAGTTTTTTGTTGACAATAACTTTGGATTAATTATTAAAACAATAATATTTATAAAATTTGATGTGAACATTGTAAGAAAATTTTTGAAAATTGAAAAACTTGTATGAATTTGTTACACTACATCTAGTTTCTGATAAAATTAAAATTGTTTCATTCTGCTTTAAATATTATTTTCCCTTGAAAAGCTACCAATTGCTACATTTTTGTGCTTTCATACTTAGCATCGATGCTAACGAACGAAATCACTGTAAATTGTTGTCGCTGTATTTGACAAATATTATGACAGTAGTCCCTTTGTTTATTCCATTGCTCTGAAATAGTCAGCGTACGTTTTACCGTATTATCTTAGCTAGACACGTACGTTTTACCTTATTATTTTAGCTAGACACGTGCATGTTAACTTATCATCTTAGTTAGACATGTACTTCTTAATTTATTATCTTAGTTAGATACGTACGTTTTAACTTATTGTCCTGAACACGTACGTTTTATCTTATTATCTTAGCTAGACACGTTCAACTTCGTATTTCTATTCAAACTGCAAACTACTAAATCACTCAATTCTCACCTGTAATTTGACTTATTTGATGGAAACAATTATGAATCATAGAAATTACAAATGAATACACTTTGCTTATGCTATCATTTCATAGAAATTTAAAAAAATAAACAAACGAATCTTTCAAATTTTTAACAAATATTTACACATTTGAAATAATTCAACTAATTTGCACTTTAATTAATTGAAACTGCCATTGTTTTGCTTAAATTAAAAAATACAAAGATTATGATTGAAAATACTTGTATCTTTTTATATAATTTCAACACCATTTTCTTTTTGAATTTAAACACAACTGCTTTCGTAATATTAATAATTTATAAAATGCTAAATTATCAATAATGTCTTCATTGAACAAATAATATTTTATAATTAAATTTTCGGTATTTGAAAATATTTGGAAAAAGTTTTCACTTTTTAAAAACTTTTGCTTATAAATAGTAAACTTGTAGATAGTTTTGTTAAATGTTCAAATGGGTGAGTGAATTTGTGGCAAAATTTCCAGTGGTATAAGTACAAGCATTGCCATATATCTATCAGAAAATGAAAATTCACAATCAAATTATCACCCTTGTCTGATATTATTAAGTAAAATTGATGATAAGGTGTTTGTTGAGAAACTTTCGCTTTTATGCCGTAGGGTGTAATGTCACATCGTCCCGTAAAATTACGCCTTTTTCGCATATTTTTCAAAACAACACACATATATCACATTCATTTACCAACTATTTAATTTGTTTCATTTTTAATCCATCAATTTCAATTTATTAACTCTCAAATTTTTACTCAAAGGTTATTCATTTCACTTTCATCCATTTATCACTTATCAATTTCTCTTTTCTTTTTTTCTCCCTCACTACATTCTAACAGTCTTCCAATTATCTATTTGTTATTAATTTCTTTTGAACAATAAAAATTACAGCAAATGAACGATAATTGAATGATATGAAATGTTGGAGAAGAAAGTTACAATTGATTAATCGATCAGTAAAGTATTTATCATATTAAGAAGCATAAAGCATTAATGTAAGTTAAATTAGTCGAAGCATTTGAAAAAGAAATAATTGACGAAATATTAAGCATTAGAAATTCCCGCAATGTCACATATATTTGTCATTACTGGAATTTCTTCTATTTCTACTGGTATTCGTTCAATTTTTTTCTTTTTTTTAAAATAGAATTTCTTTTTTTTAAATTTGTTCAAAAAAAAAAAAAAAATCTTCATGAAATAGCTTCTTAAAAAGCAGAAATATTCCAAAAAATGATCAGTTTATAGAGAAACTTGTTATGCTTTCTCTTCTTTCCACTTCATTTCTCTTTCTTATTTTATTTCAAATCTATTTTTTTTTGATTTATAACAAATAGATGGATCATCGTTATTTAACGCAATAAAATTATTCGTCGTATATTGTTATACTTTATTTTGTATATAATCATTTCAATTTATTAACATTCTTATCTTTTGAAATCGAATAGTCAGATTGATAATAGCGCCTCTAAATAATATTTTAAAATTAAATCGCACACTAAAAATTCAAAATTTCAGTAATGCATTCACAATCATTCCTTATCATTTTCAATTCGCTATTATATCGATGGTATGTTCAAGGAAGTGAAAGACCTATTGATCTTAAATGGAAATTACCGGTAACACCTCGTTTCATCCTGAAAACATCAAATTTAAACAATCCAAAAGACGAAATTCAACGTCGATTTCCAACACCGTTAATTGGCCGTAGTTCAATGAAACAGAAATTAAATCATTTTGATAAGAATGATGAACGTAAATGGATACAGGTAGCTTATTATATTAATACAATTACTGATATTAATATAATTATCTGATATTAATACAACTACTTGATATTAATATAATTACCTGATATTAATACAATTGCTTGACATTAATAAAATTACCTGATATTAATACAATTGCTTGACATTAATAAAATTACCTGATATTAATACAATTGCTTGACATTAATAAAATTACCTGATATTAATACAATTGCTTGACATTAATAAAATTACCTGATATTAATGCAACAACCTGACATTAATGCAATTACCTGATATTGATACAATTACCTGATATTAATGCAATTACTTGATAATACAGTTACCTAATATTAATATTATTACTATACATTTTCTTTTTTTTTTATACAAATGGGAAAAAAAATTATACTTGCAGTTTTACACACATAGAAAATCACCATATCAACGACCTGATGGTGCGGTATTTCTAGTTGTTGGTGGTGAAGATGGTGCTGATCGTGCCTGGTTGACAAATCAAGGTCTACCATATGTTCAACTAGCAGATCAAATTAATGCTAGCATATTTATGCTCGAACATCGATTTTATGGTAACAGTCGTCCAACAAAGTAAGTATCTTTTCTATTTTATATTACTTAACCATAAATTAACTTATTAATTCATTAATTTGGTTGGTAATTAAAATTCATTAATAATTCAAATACACAATTATTCATTAATTTCAGTGATACTTCTATTAAAAGTCTAAAATATCTTGATGCAAAGCAAGCTGTCGAAGATATTGATAAATTTGTTGAAGAAATGAATGTACGAGAAAAATTAACAAATCCAAAATGGATTACTTTTGGTGGAAGTTATTCAGGTTAATTTATTATTTAAATTTTTTGCTTTTTCAGACATGATTTTATTTGAAATTATTGATAAATAGCTGTAACATTATTTTTATTCATTTATTTTTACTTCTAACTTATTTAATAAATTTGATTTGGTGTTTGATTAAGTAAATGAATTGTTACTGACTAATTAAGCTTAAAAGAATTTTTTTCTTTTTTTTTTGGTACAGCTGTTAGTTTCATTTTCAAAAATCAGAATGAAATTTTCATTTTCAATTCGTACATTTTCTCATCTTTTTCCTTTTATCATTATCTCAAAGAAAGATGGAAAGAGAGAGAAAGAAAATGTAACAAATATCGATAAATGTATTATTTCCTTTCCTTGTAATAAAAGCAGCTTCAATGTTTCAGTTTCAAGTTTCAAAAAATTTTCTTTTTTTTTCAAAAAAAAAAAGAAAAATTTTTTCAAGAAAAAAAAAGGAAAGAAAAAAACGATTATCAACAGAGAGAGAACAGGCTTTGTAAATGTTTAGTAATTTGCTTGTGAATTAATTTAAATTTGATGAAGATGAAGAATAAAATAATTCAAATTTGATACATTTTACGAAAAGAAATTTTTTCTTGTCGCAAAAATTTTATAGAAAAACTTTATAGAAAAAATTTTTAAAAAAAGTTTTTAAAAAGTTTTATAGGAAAAACTCTTTCTCCTGTCGCATTTATCATAAATTTATTAAAGAAATCAATTAACTATTGCAAATATAAGCTTTAAAATCGTAAAAATAACTAACTTTATACAATAGCAATCTATAAAAGAAATTTAGTATTTCTTTCTTACTGCCCTGTTTCCTTGTGAAACAAAGTAAGTTTCCTTTCTTGATGGTTCAGATCGTTGACTTCTTTGTCCTCGATACTGGTAGAATCTCGAGTTTGTACTGGTTCCGTTCTGTGTACGTGTACTGTGGGAGTCTTCCTAAAATACTTTATTTTCAAACCTCAAGCTTGGGTAATTAAACCAAAGATTAACATTAAATATTATACAACATTACAGTAATGAATTGATACATAACACACAAATGTAACTTAATTATAAAACATTTAAAGATATAAGCAAGCTAGACACCTCGCAACCGAGTCATACCAAACAAGGAACTATAATGAATGGCTTTGTAAGGAAGAAATTGGGAGGGATTTTATGGGTGTTAAGGTTACAAAGTGGATTAAAGTCACTTAAACAATAGTCTTTGTTCAACACGTTATTACAAACATTATTTCTTCAGAATTAAACTTTAAAAATAAAAAGCATAAAATTTTGATGCTATTTTATAGGTAATTTAGCAGCTTGGGCTCGAGAGAAACATCCTCGAAGTATACGAGCAGCAGTTGCTAGTTCAGCTCCTTTACAAGCTAAACTTAATTTTAAAGGTAACACTTTTAATTATATTTATTTCACTTCATTGTTTCTTTTTTTTTTTTTTTTAATAAGCTTATAATTTTTTTTAAAAAAAAGAGGATGAAAACATTTAACAATATATTTTATTTGATTTTGTATTATTTTAACACAAAGAATTACAGAGTTCGAAAGGCAAATTGAAAAAATTATTGGCAAAAAAGGCACTAAATGTGTCGCAGTGATAAGAAAATTATTCCAGAAAATGCGACAAATGTCAACGACACTTGAAGGCAGACGTGAACTTGTAAAAATATTTCGGTACTGATAATTTTCATTTTTCATTCTTCTTTTCAAAAAGTGTTTTTCTTATTTTGTTTTGTTAAACTTTTACATATTAATTGAAAGAGTAGATGGTTTAATTTTAATTTTTTATTAGAAGATTAATTTGCATATTCTTTTCAGATTAGATGATTCTTTAATTCGACCAACAGTATCCGAGAAAGATATTGCAAATTTTTTTCTTGTAATTAGTAATTATATTAGTTTCATCGTAATGCATAGTGGAATTAATGTGGTTTGTGGTTTGTTGTTGTTTGTTATGTAATCGATGAATTTTATAATACTATCAAAGTTTCATATAATTTCATTTCTTTTAACTTTTACAATTTCAAGTATTTTCTTTTTCTTTTTTTTTTTTTTACTTTTAACAATTTAAAAAAAATTAAAGCTTTAATTAGAGAAAATAAACTAATCGAATATTAATTGCTTTAAAACTTACTGTATTGATATTAATTAATTCAAATATTAATATTAATTAGGTCAAATATTAATTATTTTTAAAGTTTTTTTTTTATAGAAAGATCATCGCGATTTACTAACTTTGGATGTAATGTGTAGCAAATTAACTGATTCACCATCATTAGAATCTATCCGAGTACTAATTGGTATGGTTATGATGTCACAAGGAAAATCATCACATTCAGCTATTGATGTTGGTTACAATAGTTTTCTTGATTTTATGCGTGATGAACGTTGGAATACACGTAACGCACAACGTTAGTATCTATTCTTTCTATTTTAAAAATAAAAAGTTGACCTGAATAGATCTAATCTTATTATGAAATGAAAAAAAAAATCTGATAACAATCTAAAGAGTAGATGTAAATTTTACACTAATGATTATTTATTGAACAGATTGAACTTAATCATGAATACCAAAATGTAAATTTAAATTAACTCACATTAATTAATTTAATAAAATAAGATAACAAAAAATAATAAGTTAATTAGAAATTTTTGTAATATTTTAGAGAATTAAGACAAAGGGAAAAAAAAAAATGAAAGAAGAAATGATTGATTATTTTTTAGCTCGTGCATGGCTTTATCAAAATTGTCATGAATTTGGTCATTTTCGAACAAGCGAAGAATTAAATGGTTTATTTGCTGGAACTTTACCGCTAAGGTAATTTATAAATTTTGAATGAAATATTTTTATATTATATTATTTTATAACGAAATGTTTAATTTGTTTTAAAAATATTTTCAATTGGTCAACATGCTAATGTGTAGTTTCTTCTTGGCACGTTGTACGGATGTATTCGGTGACCATTTCTCTCTTGAAAATACGGAAAAAAGAATCGCTGAAACAAATGAATTTTTTGGTGGAAATAAAAATTTTCAGGTTTGCATATTTAAAATTTTTGCTAAAAATCATTTTTGATAAAAATTTTGTAATTTGTTAGGTAAATTCATGATAATATCATTGATAATAATTAACATTTCTTGGTTTTATTTTTTTTTTCCCCAATGCTATTATCAACGAAAAGAATGATATCATTCTTGACTTCATTTTATAATTCTCGAAAATTTAAAATTATACTAACAGGGAACAGATGTGATACTATCCAATGGTTCGGATGATCCATGGACTTTACTTGGTGTATACAATGGTACCAGTGCTATTAACAATTATATTATTTGCATCGAAGGTTTCTTTTATTTTTTTGAATAAATGATAAAGTATTATTAAAATTCTTTAAAAAATTTAATGGCACTCTAATTGAACTAAAAATTAGCAAATTCTCTTATACACTAAGGAATACATATAGTAATAAAGTTAAGATAAGCATGAAACACTATTAATTTTCAAAATATAAGTATTTAAAATTGAATATATTTGAAAAATATTTGAAATTGAAAAATGAGTAAGATATTTAATTGAAGTATGTTACAGGGACAAGTCATGTAGCTGATTTCTATCCACCAAGTAATTCTGATTCAAATGCACTAAGAACTGCACAATATAGGATAATACAGGTGATCGAAAGTATAGTACTGTAAATTGTTCAACTGATTGTATAAAATATTTGTATTTATTTTTGAAATAAATTAAATGTTATTAATTTCAACAATTTCATCACATATAATTTATTTTTGTCAAATTCAATCAAATCTCTGTGTGCCATTTCAAAACGAAAAAAAAAAATCTTAAAATTTAATCTATATGTTCAATTTAAATTATATTTAAACACAATTGACTATTTCATGATCATTTCAAACATTCAAACATTTCTTCATAAATTTTGAGTTTTTTTTTTTTTTTTTTTTTTCACATCTTTCATTGCTTTACTAATATTATTTGAAAAGAAAAAAAATCATTGGTTAATTTTGATTAATGCATTTAATAAAAAATTAAATATAATTTAAGTTCCAGAAAAAGCTATGCCAAACAAATATATTTTATATTAAATATCATCTAAAATAAACTCAATTAATGCATCCATTAATGCAGCACTAAAAATAAAATAAAATAAAATATCTCACAAAATGGATTAATGATAATAATAATAATAAAAAATTGCCTATAATGATTCAATAAAAAAAAAAAAAAGGTCAAGGATATTAAGGATGATATGAATTTGTCATATTCAACACATCAGTTAAATTCATCAACTAGTATGATAATTCCAAATATTGATTGATATTAAGTAAATATTCAAAATACAAAAAATAAATTGTCATCGTACAATGAAATCAACAATTTGCGCTTTTAGCTTACTTTGTTAAGCGCTAAAATAAAATAAAATAAACTTTCTTGCAAAAAGAGTGCCAATAATGATAAACATTTGAAAAATATCATTTATTACTAACATTATTACTGTGCACTTATTGAATCCATTGTCAATCTATCATTTTTATCAGTCAACAAAAAACAAAAAAAAAAAACCAAAAAAAAAAATGAAAATTCATCAGAGCATTTGTGCACTATCACTTTGTCAAATAGCATTTTGTGCTTTTTTTTTTTTTTTGTAAGAGCATTTGATTTAATTGTTTTTAACTGTCACTGTGCCTATTTCATTTGTTTTATGTCATACCTGAAAGTAGTTCCCATTAAATAATCAGGAATGTAATTAGAAAAATCAAAATGATTCATTCATTTCTTTACTTTTACCTATTTCAAATGCGATTTTATTAATTTATTCTTGTATCAATCACTAATTAACTGCTAATTATGAGAATATTCAAATTTGTTAAAAACAAAAAAAAAAAAAAAACAAAAAAGGTAGAATTAAAACGAAATTTGAATATTTTAATAATTAACAATTAATGATTGATATAATAATACATTACAATTAATGATTTGATCACTTTTTGTTAATTTCACAAAATTTAATTCTTTTTTAGTATTACTTAATATTAACACTTTTATTTGAAATTTTTCAATAAAATGTGCAAAAAAAAAAAAATGAATTTTTGAACTATTACAAAGGAACAGTTACTTTCATTTTCTGTCAATTCTTTTTCGCTTCACTGCTAGTTAACAATTGCATTATGCCAATAAAAAAAAGATACAATTTAAGAATTTCTCATGAATTTATTTAGTTATTCTTCTTCTTGAATTTTGCTCATTTTTCTTCTTCTAAATATTTGAACATTTTTGAAGAATAATTTTACATCACAGATACAGTAATGAATTAATTACTGTATCTACTTTACCTATAATAATACAAATATTTTTTCTAAGTTACTGCTAAATTATTTATTAAAAAAATTTCTCGAGTAATAAGTTTAAATATATGTCAATAATAACTTTATATTTCAGAATTTGAATTTATCAATCAAAACAGGTGACAGTGATGAGAAATGCTCATGGAAGACACAAATCGATATATGAAATATCAAAATATGACGTTACGAAATGTATGACATATGATTAGCTTTTGTTTTGTTTTCTATCATAATAATATGGGATATTTAGAGATAAAAGAATTAAATAAAAACTATTTTTAAATGAAATTGAAAATTATTATAAAAATATTATTGACAAATTAGGATATATATATTATTGATCAAAATTAGGATATTATTGAACATTTTAGGAATATATGATATGCAATCACATGCATAATCTTACTTTTTATGCATTAATTAATTAGGGATAGTAATTAATTTATCATTGCTAATTTCAATTCGATTAAATGAATGCTACCCTCTTCTTTTTTTAGGAATAATCAACAGAGCAAATTCATTATAATATAAACCTTGTAATTACTTCCTTTATGCTATTTTAATTCGAAATTATTTCTTTCAGAAAAAAACAAAAAAACAAAAACAAAAACAAAAACAGAAAAAGGAAAGAATAAAAATTTCCATTCATAAGGATGCAGTTAGTAAATTATGACAGAATGAGTTATCTGTTTGACACAATGCGCTCTTTAACATTGACACAAGGCGCTCTTTAACATTGACACAATGCGCTCTTTAACATTGACACAAGGCGCTCTTTAACATTGACACAAGGCGCTCTTTAACATTGACACAAGGCGCTCTTTAACACTTATAGCTATCATTATCATCATTTTTTGTAATTGCAAAATATCATTGAAATATTGTAGGGCACTAATTATATATGTAAATAATATAGAATTATTGCTGTAGTACAATACTTGTCAATATATCAATATCAGTAGCACTCACCCTCTTCTTCTCCCTCTCCCTCTCTCTCTCCCTCTCCCTCTCCCTCTCTCTTTGTCCTTCAGGTAGAAGAAAAGATCCATTTGACACTGTGACAAACATGAATAAAATACATATAGATAATTACGAACATTTTACACATAAATGTGAAATATATATGGACATTAGATGAGAAGAGACAAATGAATGGATGGATGACTGTCACATGCGGGTGACAATCGTAATTGCAGCATCAGTCCAGCACAAAAGAGGCAATCGTGCTCTTTCAGTTGGTTCTCAACATCGGTCACTTCAACCTGCTTCTACTGCCACTGCTACCACTGCTGCTGTATCTGAATTAGCGTCATCGATGCCACTTTTTCAAGGTAATACTAATGAGATTTCAGGTAAATTAGTTAAAGAACGAATTTTTCTGCATTTCAGGTAAATTAGTTAAAAGAGGACTTTTTTCTGCATTTCAGGTAAATTAGTTAAAAGAGGACTTTTTTCTGCATTTCAGGTAAATTAGTTAAAAGAGGACTTTTTTCTGCATTTCAGGTAAATTAGTTTAAAAGAGGACTTTTTTCTGCATTTCAGGTAAATTAGTTAAAAGAGGACTTTTTTCTGCATTTCAGGTAAATTAGTTAAAAGAGGACTTTTTTCTGCATTTCAGGTAAATTAGTTAAAAGAGGACTTTTTTCTGCATTTCAGGTAAATTAGTTAAAAGAGGACTTTTTTCTGCATTTCAGGTAAATTAGTTAAAAGAGGACTTTTTTCTGCATTTCAGGTAAATTAGTTTAAAAGAGGACTTTTTTCTGCATTTCAGGTAAATTAGTTAAAAGAGGACTTTTTTCTGCATTTCAGGTAAATTAGTTAAAAGAGGACTTTTTTCTGCATTTCAGGTAAATTAGTTTAAAAGAGGACTTTTTTCTGCATTTCAGGTAAATTAGTTAAAAGAGGACTTTTTTCTGCATTTCAGGTAAATTAGTTAAAAGAGGACTTTTTTCTGTATTTCAGGTAAATTAGTTAAAAGAGGACTTTTTTCTGCATTTCAGGTAAATTAGTTAAAAGAGGACTTTTTTCTGCATTTCAGGTAAATTAATTAAAGGAGCAATTTTTTTTTTTTTAGTTTTCTTTCTTTCTTTCTTTCATTTTTTTTCAGTTTAGCATTTTTTTTTCATTGTAAGCATACAATATTGAAATGCTAACCATCATCAATTATCATTCTTTTCTAACATTTAATCAACATTTATCCCTCATTTCATTTCATTTAATCTATCCATCTATTTTAACATTTTTTTTTTCCTTCTTCTTCCTCTCTCATTTCATTGTTTTCTTTTTTAGTGCAATTTTTCAATCAATTTTCTTTGATCTTATTTCTAACCATTCTTTCATTCTTTCATCTTATCATTATTTATTTTCATTTTGATTAATGAAATCCTACATACATTCATTAATTACTACATTGAACATTAACTAGGATAAATAAATGTTCATTCTCAAATTTGTTCATCCTCTCCTTTACTACATACATCTTAGTAATACTTTACTCTTTCACTCTTATTTCATCTCATTATCCATTCATTTTTTTTAATTTACTCTGATAAAGAAAGTATATCAAATATTGATAAGTAATTATTTCTGATATCATATGCATATATAAAGTAAACATACACATTATAATTAATATAACTTTAGAAAGTGTATCTAATTACAATATATTTCTTTTCTATTTTTGTATGAACTAACAAAATGATAAATGAAAAGTTTAAAATTATCATTTAAATTTATCAATTAAATCATTATTATTTATCCTGTACTATATACCAGTGCTATTACATAGTATTTTAACAAATACAAATAATTTACTTCGTTTTTTTCTCTCTCCCTCTCCCTCTCTCTCTTTCTCTCTCTCTAGGATTAACATAGATAATAGTAATTTATATCTTATTTACAACTTATCCCTTTACATTTATCTAATTATAAACAAATATTTCATGAATTAAATTATCATTCATTTTAATAATGAAAAAAGCGAAAGAGGAAAATTTTTTCCATTCGTTGTTATCATTATTTATCAGATAGTAGTATACTGATAACAAAAATCTTAGATTTATGATAAATGTCACAAAATGATGAAAGAGAAATGATAGTGAAGAATGATAAGAGGGAAAATAATGATTCAGAAGAAACCTGCAAATGTTATTGCCAAGGTGGCAAACGAATTAGCTATCCATATGGTTGGACTGCTACTTCTACTACCACTTCTCTTCAATATGATTTTATCGGTTTGTTTATCATCAACAATCACTAAATTATTGATTGTATACAATAAAATTAGATTATTATTATTACCTGTAAATATTTACCTGTAAATTAATTAAAAT